AGGAAGGTAGGAGCCCAGAGGCTGGCACAGGCCAGCCCTTCTCAGCCTGCCTGCCCTCAGGGATGTGGGCTCCCTGCAGCAGCATACGGGGAGTGACCCCCCTGCTCTTGCCATGCCTCACCCTGGGCCCCCCGTGCCCTCCCCAGGGCTGGGCGTGTGGGAGTGGAAGCCAGCTGCCTGGGCCCCGCAGTGTGCCATGGCCTGAGGGCCCCCGAGGACAGCCTGGCTGGATGCGGGCCCTCGCGTGTGGCCCAAGGCTGTTCTCCCGTTCCAGCACCCAGCGCCCCGCCGAGCGAGGGGCGCACGCGACACAGCATCGACCCGGGTGGAGAGAGCTGTCAAGGTGAGGGGCTGTCCGCTCAGCCGTCCTCCTCTCCTGCTCCTCCCACCCTGCTGGCCACCTGCCCCTTCCCCAGACGTGCCCTCCCCCATGAGGCCTTGCATGTCCCGGCTGTCCCGAGCCAGGGCCTCTGACCCCTGGGGTGCCCATCCTGCATGGCTGTGCCAAGGCAGGCTGGGCCCAGCTGCTCCTCAGCTCCCTCCCCCCCCAGCAAAGGAAGATCTTCATGCTGCATGGCCCGTACCCCGTGATCCGGAGCCTGCTGCGGAGCCGGGGCTGGGTGGAGAAGAAGGCTCCCAAGGCTGCACGCAGACGGGAACTGGTGCCCGGCAGCCCGGAGGGAGACAACAGTGATGACGCGGAGGAGGGTGAGAACTGGGCATGGGGAGTAGAGCCCAGAAGGAGGGACAGCCAGGGGCCAGGCCCTGTGGAAACTGCTGGGAAATTGCAAAGCCTTGTGTGGCAGCTACAGATTCGGAGACCCTTGGCTTGGTTCCTGGGAGCACCCTGGCCCAGTCAGGTCCCCTGGTCTCTGAGACGTGCCTGGCCCCACACCCGGCCCCGGAGAGCACGTGAGAGCCAAGAGGAGACGTTTGTTCTGTGCCCCAAGGCCGGTGGGGATGGGCACCCCCGGGAGAAACACAAACCTGAGTGGCCGGCTGCCAGGGCTCCTGCGCTTCTTCCCCAGGCGAAGATGGCGAGGAAGAGGAGGGGCAGGATGATGACCCTGATGGCACCTACGACCTCATGGTGAGTTTGGGGGCTCAGGGCACCCCGTCTCCCTGCAGCCTCTGGCTCAGCTTCACTGGAGCCTCCGTACAGAATTGCCAGTGGGGAGGGACCCGGGGCAGTGGGTCGGGTGGGGGGCAATGTTCCTTTGAAGTTTGCCATCCATTTGTGGAATACATTTTGTTCTGTGCGCTGAGGCATGTGTGGATGTGCACCACCCGTAGGCACATGCCGCCTGCTGTGGGCGCTCTGCTCATCACGAGGGTGGCAGCTGAGTCTCCTGGCCAGCCAAGGCAGACGGCAGGGCAGGCGGGAGCAGGACAGGGGCACTCAGGCTGGGCAGAGGGCAGGGCAGGCGAGAGCAGGGTGGGGGGATTCCGGCCAGGGCAGTGTTGGAGGCAGGCTGCAGGGGGCAATCAGGCTGGCCTGGGGGCAGTGGGGAGTATTCAGTCTGGTGCGCTGCTCAGGGTGGGACAGGAGAGAGAAGCCTGCAGGCCGGGGCAGAGCACGGCGGCAGTTCCGTGGGGCGGAGGGGCAG